GGGTCAGAAAGAGTCAGACAAGACTGAGCGACTAACACAGACTCACATATTCTCAAATGTCGTGAGTGATCAGAATTAGTCTACAGAAAAACAAATACTGAAAACTTTACAAATATATTACCCATTAGTTGGCTTCTTGAGATTGTCTAAATCAGTAATATCTCAAGAATTACACTTTCCTGTCAAATGCCAGGGCTTCCCCTGATGGCTCAGAAGTAAAGAACCCACCTGCCAATGTAGGAGACATGGGTTCAGTCCCTAGCTCAGGAAGATCACTTGAAGGATGGTATGGCAGCCCACTCCAGTATTCTTGCCTCGAGAGTCCCATGGACAGAGGAACCTGGTAGGCTACAGTCCATAAGCTACAGTCCATAGACTGCAAAGAGTCAATGAAATGATTTAACACACACATACACATCAGATGCAAAACAAAATAACAAAACCACTAATAGACATATAAGTTTTAACTGTTTATCCTCTCCTAACATCAGTTCAGTTCACTTCAGTCATTCAGTCGTGTTCGGCTCTTTTCAACCCCTTGAACCGCAGCACACCAAGCACCCCTGCTCAAAACCAACTCCCAGAGTTTACCCAAACTTATGTCCATTGAGTCGGTGATGCCATCCAGCCATCTCATCCTCTGTCAACCCCTTCTCCTCCTGCCCTCAATCTTTCCCAGCATCAGAGTCTTTTCAAATGAGTCAGCTCTTCACATCAGATGGCCGAAGTATTGGAGTTTCAGCTTCAACATCAGTCCTTCCAATGAACACCCAGGACTGATCTCCCTTAGGATGGACTGGTTGGCTCTCCTTGCAGCCCAAGGGATTCTCAAGAGTCTTCTCCAACACCACAGTTCAAAAGCATTAATTCTTCAGCACTCAGCTTTCTTCACAGTCCAACTCTCACATCCATACATGACTACTGGAAAAACCATAGCCTTGTATAGGTGGACCTTTGTTGGCAAAGTAATGTCTCTGCTTTTTAATATGCTCTCTAGGTTGGTCATAACTTTCCTTCCAAGGAGTAAAGCGTCTTTTAATGTCATGGCTGCAATCACCATCTGCAGTGATTTTGGAGCCCCCAAAAATAGTCAGCCACTGTTTCCACTGTTTCCCCATCTATTTGCCATGAAGTGATGGGACTGGATGCCATGATCTTCGTTTTCTGAATGTTGAACTTTAAGCCAATGTTTTTATTCTCCTTTTGCATTTTCATCAAGAGGCTCTTTAGTTCCTCTTAACTTTCTGCCATAAGGGTGGTGTCATCTGCATATCTGAGGTTCATGATATGTCTCACAGCAGTATTTATTCCAGCTTGTGCTTTGTCCAGCCCAGCATTTCTCATGATGTACTCTGCAGATAAGTTAAATAAGCAGAGTGACAGTATACAGCCTTGACATACTCCTTTTCCTATTTGGAACCAGTGTATTGTTCCATGTCCAGTTCTAACTGTTATTTCCTGACCTGCATACAGGTTTCTCAAGAGGCAGGTCAGGTGGTCTGGTATTCCCATCTCTTTCAGAATTTCCTACAGTTTATTGTGATCCACACAGCCAAAGGCTTTGGCATAGTCAATAGAGCAGAAATAGATGTTTTTCTGAAACTCTCTTGCTTTTTCGATAATCCAGCAGATGTTCACAATTTGATGTTTGGTTCCTCTGCCTTTTCTAAAACCAGCTTGAACATCTGGAAGTTCATGATTCACGTATTGGTGAAGCCTGGGTTTATTTTTGAGCACTACTTTACTAGTGTGTGAGATGAGTGCAATTGTGTAGTTTGAGCATTCTTTGGCATTGCCTTTCTTTGGGATTGGAATGAAAACTGACCTTTTCCAGTCCTGTGGCCACTGTTGAGTTTTCCAAATTTACTGACATATTGAGTGCAGCACTTTCACGGCATCATCTTTTAGGATTTGAAAGAGCTAAACCAAAATTCCATCACCTCCACTAGCTTTGTTCATAGTGATGCTTCCTTAGGCCCACTGGACTTCATATCCCAGGATGTCTGGCTCTAGGTGAGCGATCACATCATCATGATTATGTGGGTCATGAAGATCTTTTTTGTACAGTTCTTCCTAACATAGCCAACAGTTAGATCTTATTCTGAGATTTGCAGGGGAATTTTTGTTTTCATTCTTCTCTCATTTCTCAATATTTGGTAGCTCCTAACTCAATTAATTTTACTGTTAATAATCCTAAACTTTTATTTCTGTTCACCTTCCTGTTCTTAACTCCTTGACCACAAGCTATCGGTATCAATCTTCAATTCAGTTCAGTCGCTCAGTCGTGTCTGACTCTCTGGACCCCATGAACCACAGCACGCCAGCCCTTCATGTCCATCACCAACTCCCAGAGCTTACTCAAACTCATGGCCATCGAGTCAATGATGCCATCCAGCCATCTCATCCTCTGTCGTCCCCTTCTCCTCCTGTCCCCATTCCCTCCCGACATCAGGGTCTTTTCCAATGAGTCAACTCTTCGCATGAGGTGGCCAAAGTACTGGAGTTTCAGCTTGAGCATCAGTCCTTCCAATGAACACCCAAGACTGATCTCCTTTAGGATGGACTGGTTGGATCTCCTTGCAGTCCAAGGGACTCTCAAGAGTCTTCTGCAATACCACAGTTCAAAAGCACCAACCCTTCAGCGTTCAGCTTTCACATCCAACTCTCACATCCATATATGACCACTGGAAAAACCATAGCCTTGACTGGACAGATCTTTGTTGGCAATGTAATGTCTCTGATTTTTAATATGCTATCTAGGTTGGTCATAACTTTCCTTCCAAAGAGTAAACATCTTTTAATTTCATGGCTGCAATCACCATTTGTCGTGATTTTGGAGCCATCTACCTGACTGCAAATTTTTCAATGAGAACTGTTTCAGTGCGGTCAGAAAGGTTTTGGATAACACAAAGAATATTTTAAAAATACTGAAAATTGAGTAAGATCAGATTAAATTTCATTTTAATATCATCTCGTGGCTCCATAACATTTGTTTATGATAAACAATAAATATAATGTCATAAACAAATACACAGTAGATCAAGGCAATTCATGTGAAATTTATATATAACCATCCTAAAATGCAAATTGAAAGAAATTCAAATTATTGTGTAACTCTTTTTCATTTTCTCTGTTATTATAATGTATTTTTATGGTTTCTTGGGGCAAATCTGTGATGATTTTCTTTGTAGACATTCACTGCTACTGAATAATACTCTCTGATCACAGCAGTTAATGTTGCTATTCTATTATGAATTAAGTCTCTTTATGCTTCGATTCAAAGTAATCCCTGACTTTTCTGTGCACTTTAATTTGGTCATCAGCTGACTTGCTATCAAAGTAAAACTCCAATTTCAGTACTACAGTAGACTGACTACAGAATAGCTAAATAATAGATTTGCAGTGCGTAACTGCCTGGTCATTGATTTAAAGGACACAATGTGTTTCTATACATTTACTACTCTAAATCACATTATTGGAAAAACTATTTCTATTAGACAATAATACAATATAGCCCAGGTTGCAAAGTAAAAAGTAAGATAAACTTATAAAATCCATTAGTTTCACTAAACCTATTTTTAATAATATGTACCAGTAGTACAAATCTAAAAATATTTCATTTGTATTTCTCAAATAGCATTAAATTATATACTTTGTTTGGACTATTGTTAGGTATGATGGAGTGATTATCTTGTTAATAATAACTGTTGATGATAAAGTGATTATTCAAAAATTGGTGGACATTTCAACTGACAATTATTTGAAAAACATAGTGAATATAACTAGTTGCCAAAATGTGTTGGAAGGTATATTTTAAAAGAGTGAAAATGAATGGTTAATACTGAAGTATCTAAGTATATTGACTTTTTTTTTTATAAAATTGATAACAGTTCTAGAGAAAATATTCTTTTTTCTTCCTTTGAAGTACATTCATTCTTTAATTTATCTAATAAATATTTACTGAGGGTCTGCTATATGCAGAACATCAGCAAAAAACAGAAACTGTCTGACATCATGAAGTTTATAATCTCTTAAAGGAGACAGCTGTCAACGAGCAAGCGACTATGATTAGTATCACAAAAGCACAATAATTTGTGACAATATGGTAAAGAATCTAACCTACACTGTGAGGTCAGAGAAGGGCTTGCTGTGGACATATCTAAGCTGAAAACTGAAATATGTATAGGAAAACCTCAGTCAAAGCAGAAAAGAATGTCCTAGGCTGTAGGATCATCATGGCAAGGGAGTAAGATGCTCAGTTGTTCATGATTCCACATAAAGGTTGTTTTTGTTTTTGTTTTTCCATAACTAAGATTTCTGATCCAGATTCAAAATGTGATATAATCCTGACATGCAAGAAAGAATTCAAAATTTTATTTTATTAATAATGTGTTATGCATGTTAAAAGAAGCTCTATTTTGCCTACAGATTATAATTATATCTTTTAAAAAATTGAAAGCAATAGCAGCAAGAACAGCCAAAAATCTAAATAAAAACTATACAAAAATTTAATGACCAAAAGAGATTTGTCAAAAAAACAAAACAAACAGAGATATGAAGCAGAGGTCAGTATGAAGCAGAGGTCAGATTTGAAATATATATACATATACTATTAAGATGAAATTATGATGATCTGATTGAGGATAAATGTTATATAATCACATAGTTTGCCATAGAAATGAAGAAAGCAAAAAAAAAAAAATTTGGTTAACGAAAAGACCCTTTATTTACTCAAGACAGTCTGTAACATTTGAATAAATCTTTCTTGTGAACAATAAGTATATATACATACTATTTACATGAAAATTGTCCACAGGAATAAGAGCTTATAACTTTGGTATTCTTAAATTATGGAGCCTTAAATAATGTATAAGATATTAGCGAAGCTAAAGAAAATTATATATTAAATTAGTAAAAATTATAAATAGCATTTTAAATAGCAGTCTAAAGTGTTTATTTTTCCTAATAAATATATTTTCACATGTCTCTCTTAATCTTAGATTTCAGACTGAATTGAATTATGATGTTCTGGAAGTTCATGATGGGCCAAATCTTCTATCACCCTTGCTTGGATCTTACAATGGCACACAGGTGCCCCAGTTTCTATTTAGCAGCAGTAATTTTATATACCTTCTATTTACAACAGACAATAGTCGTTCTAATAATGGTTTCAAGATTCATTATGAAAGTAAGTAATGCCAACATTTATTTTTTAATTTTTTTATTCTGTTTTCTATGCTTTGGGTATTATCTTGTATCATTAAGAGAACCTATGAGAATGCTAATGGGTTATAAGGTGTGTGTTTCAGTGAATTCTGTAATAGGTTTTTTCCAGCAATATCTATGTAATATCATTATGAAGGGAAATACTAAGGAAATGTCAAAACTATTAACTAAAAAATCTTAAAAGTGAGTTCATATAATAATTATTTGTGCACTTCTGAAAAACCAATAGGTGGGAATGTCAATCTAGTAAATGTCAGTCTAAGATGTGTATGAACATTGACAAATTCTTCTAGCATTTACCTCATAAACTCAATCATACTTCTATATTTTCCTCACACTCATTGCATACATTTCCATTGAAAATATTTAATTTTGTTATTTTGTATGAAGTATTGAAAATTATATTAATATTATAAAGTAAAATATATACTCATGTATGTGCAACTGTGGCTAGCATAACTAGCCAAAGGCTATATATTAAAACAAGCTCTAATTTACAGTGCTGGAATGAGTTTACAATAATTTCACTTAGAATACTACAGTTTTGTTTAAAAATCTAAAATACGTCTGATTTTTTAAATTGATTCTGATATATACAAATCTGTTTTATTTATAAACTTCTAACATATTTAAATGTGTGAATGTATTGCATAGGATGCACAGTTGCACACATACGTATAAACTCATGTATTCACACATTTTAATCTGGAAATATGTTGCCATATATCTTTCCATGAAAAATAATTGTTGTGATTGTATCTAACAATACATTTAAGATTACTGCAAGATATCTTTATATCAGTTTCAGATAGATATTGTATCTCTTATTTTTGTATTCAAGTCTCCTATGCCTCCTCACCCCTCAGAAAAAAATTCCATCATTTAAATGTGTAACTGTATATTCCATGTTAGGTGTCTCTCTTCAGTAAATCTGGTTGGACCCGTGAGGTTTTCTTTTAATTATGAATATATATTTACTGTTGTTTTTTTTTTTTCTTTTCAACCTTATCTACAGTATCATTTAATTATATTAACTTCCCTTTACTTAGAGCTTTGTGGCATGGAAATATAGTTTATAAACTATTATAAAATGCAATAAGAGGATTAACACACACTTGGGAATTAAAATGAATTTAAAGAACTTTAATTTCGATCTTTAACATTTATTAGTTAAGCCTGAGTCAGAGTAGAGTCATTTTTAAAGGTCTATTCAAAATTAATTTTCACTAGCAATTAATTTGTATCAGTGTGCTAACATGAGCAGACACCATATTTTCATTTTTGTCCAACATTCTATTCTATGCCAAATACATCCTATTCAGTCCATTTCAATCAAGGTAGGTGGTCATAATCATGTTCTCATACACACAATTATTTTAAGGATTAAGTTAAATCATCATGCAAAGTGTTACTAAAAGGGTGAGGATTTTCAATAAACTGACCAACAGATTTAGTTCAGATTCTTGCTAAAACTGAATTAAATGGACCAAGGACAGAGCCCAGGGGTGAAAGTGAGAGTCTTGTCCGACTCTCTGCAACCCCATGGCCTATACTGTCCATGAGGATTCTCCAGGCAAGAGTGTTGGAGTGAGTTGCCATGCCTTCCTCCAGGGGATCTTCCCAACCGAGTGATCGAACCCAGGTCTCCCAAACTGCAAGCAGATTCTTTACCAGCTGATCCACAAGGGAAACCCGAGAAGACTCTAGTGGTTAGCCTGTCCCTTTTCCAGTGGATCTTCCTAACCCAGGAGTCGAACTGGGGTCTCCTCCATTGCAGGCAAATTCTTTACCAACTGTGTTATCAGGGAAGCCCAGCCAAGGGGTGAGCCTGACTCTGAGTTTGGCTAAGGCAGAGTCTTTATCACAGTCAGCAAGTTTGTCACCTAAAGGCCTTTGGTGAAATAGTCCAAATTACTACTGAGGGCTAGTGCTTAAATGGCGGAGTAGAGGCTAGATAATTCTGAGGCTGATGAGAGGCTCAACAGATACTGATTTTGGTCAAATCTGCCCAGGAGACAATGACTCTGAATTTAAATTTGTTTACAAATTTCATTTTCTTTCATTTTTATTCTAATTGTGGTTTATTTAGTAAACCAAAGGGCTAACTTAGGGACTTCCCTGGTGACTCACTGGAAAGAATTCACCTGCAATGCCAGAGACCTGGGTTTGATCCCTAGGTCGGGAACATCCCCTGGAGAAGGGAATGGCTACCCACTCCAATATCCTTGCCTGGAGAATCCCATGGACAGAGGGACCTGGTGGGCTACTGTCCATGGTGTTGCAAAGAGTCAGACATGACTGAGAGACTAACACTTTGACTTGTTTAGTATTGTGAGATAATCTCTAACATCACAAACCCTTTCTTACCAAGAAAACAAATAAAACACTATTTCTGTTGACACTTTCTTAATACATTTTTCAAGCTGAAGGTATCCAAATTATCTTTTTTAAATGAACCATTCACAAGCCTCAAAATCAGTAGAGAAAAATGTTATTATACTACTTAAAACTTTAAAAATATATTTGGTATTTTGTGAATTTCTATTTTTATTTTAATGGAACACATTAAAGGAGAAAACTTGGTTTCTCCAGTGAACCAAATTTTTATGGGAAGGATTTCTTGAAATGCCATCATTGGTTGTACTCTAGAACTTGATTTTATACCCTTTCTTGGGCACTTTCACCCATCTGTCTTCCTCTCAAAACAGGAAGATTACAAAACTTCACCAATAGGATAAAAGTTATTTATAGTTTACAAAACATTAAAATAATAAAAACAACACAGAATAGACTTTCTGTTTTGTTTTGTTTTGTTTTAGTGCAGTCCCCAATCCCAAGAAGCTGTATTATGTTGTATTTCTTGAAATGTAGATATAATAATGTTTCTTAGATTATGTAAATATCACATAAAGCAAGGCAGTGATGAATGGCTACAGAACAAATCCATTGACACAGATACCAATCTTTAAGAAAAACTTATAGTCTCCTAAAGCAATTAAATGGAGTTTTAATGATAAGAAATAATTTCATAGGATTATTTTAATGACTAAATGAGGCAAATTTTGCAAAAATTTTAGAGTTGTAAAAATGTGGAATATAACAAGCTGAAAACATTAATTATTGCTTTGATAATTATTGCATGTGCATCTGCTGTGCTGTGCTTAGTCACTCAGTCGTGTCTGACTCTTTGCAATCCCACGGACTGTAGCCCATCAGGCTCCTCTGTCCATGGGGATTCTCCAAGCAAGAACATTGGAGTGGGTTGCCATGCCTTCCTCCAGGGGATCTTCCCAGGGGATTGAACCCAGGTCTCCCTCATTGCAGGCGGATTCTTTACCATCTGAGCCTCCAGGGAAGCCCAAGAATATTGAAGTGAGTAGCCTATCCCTTCTCAAGGAGATCTTCCTGACCCAGGAATCAAATCAGGATCTCCTGCATTGCAGGTGGATTCTTTACCAGCTGAACTACCAGGGAAACCCATAAATGTGTGTGTGTATGTATATATATATACATACATACATATGTATATACATGTATATATATACACACATTTATACATACATCTATATGTATATACATAATTTATAATACAAAGTTTGATAGATAATTATACATTTTCATTAAGTTATTATGTAACTTGTAGCCTGATTTTGGCATCACCAACTCGATGAATATGAGTTTGAGCAAGCTCCGGGAGTTGGTAATGGACAAGTAAGCCTGGCCTGCTGCATGTCATGGGGTCGCAAAGAGTCGGACACTACTGAGTGACTGAACTGATTGGCAGATTAATTTATCTGTAAAAGTTATCACCAACAGTTGTTTGTTTTGAAGGAATGAGTTTGTTTAAAAGAATAAGAATCTACTTCAGTGATTTGATTCTCAACAGGCTTACTCTTTTTCATATTGCCTTTGTTTTCCAGGTGTTACAGTGAACACCTATTCCTGCTTGGATCCTGGCATACCTGTACATGGTCGTCGCTATGGTCATGATTTCTCCATTGGATCTACTGTTTCGTTTAGTTGTGATCCTGGATACAGGCTGAGCCATGAAGAGCCCCTTCTGTGTGAGAAAAACCACTGGTGGAGTCATTCACTTCCAACTTGTGATGGTAGGTTCAATATGGAAAATAAACCAATTTATAAACCAAAAATAAATCAACATGATCTTGTAAAATGTGAGGTTTAGAATAAATATATCTTGAATGCTGCCAATTTTATGTTATCAAACCATTAATAAAGACACAAAAGAATGAATACTGATAATAAGCCAAACTTACCCAATGCCTAAGGCTGTTATATGTATTTATAAAATGTGTTGAGGTAACCATTTTAGATGCCTATTGTGTCCTGTACTCCTTGAAAAAATAGCATTGAAAATGTCAATTTGATGTCAGGTGAATGCAATGAAGAGTTAGAGCATTTACCTCCTGCCTGGAAGGCAACGTGTAATAGTCCAAATTCTGCCTACCTACACAGCTTTATAGCAATGTACCAGACTTCCCTGTGATGGCCAGTTCCTGGCCATAGAAAATAATATGCCAGTGTCCTTATCTCTTATTTATTTCTATGGAAAATAAGTGAGCAATCCTTTATTTTTTAGAAAACATGTATGAAAATACAATGAAAGAAGCTGCTTTCCTAAGATTGGGAAGTACTTGTACACATGGTTTATGAAAAGCACACACATAAAATCTATCCATTAGTTCTGGGTTTTAATTTTAACACTATTCTTAACATATTCTTATCCTTTTGCCAAGTGGAAGATCACATTTCCCATTTTATACGTATTTTCAAATACTGTCAGTGCCATCATTTTTGTTTCAATTTGTTTTTATAAGGAGGTTTAAAAGAATCCTCAGCCTATCTGCCCCATTTTTGGTGCAATACAAATTGTAATAGCATTCTTGTGGTTTAAGTGACAAAAACCCAACTCTAAATGATTTTAAAAAATGAAAGCAGGATTTGTTTTTTGAAGTTTCAAACTTAGAAAAAGGTTTCACTGGTCGCTCAGATTGTGAAGACCCTGCCTGCAACTCAGGAAACTCGGGTTCAATCCCTGGGTGGAGAAGAATCTCTGAAGAAGGGAATGGCAACCCATTCCATTGTTCTTGCCTGGAGAATTCCATGGACAGAGGAGCCTGCTGGGCTATAGTCCATGGGGTCACAAAGAGTGGGACACAACTAATTGACTAACACAGGCCAAACTTAGAAAAGGCACACACGCATACTTCCTGTTGCTAATGATAATCATGAATTCAAACATTTTCAAGGATATTTCCATTTCCACCTTGGCTTTTCTCTCTCTGTATCATCATTCTCTTTAGTTGAAACCAGGCTTATTTTATATGTGGGACTAAAGGTAGAGGATACACTTTCAGGAAAATGGAATCATATAACCTCACATTTCCGAAATCAGAGAATGAGAGTTCTACCTTTCTGTTCTTATTAGAAAAATATGAGGAAAGGTCTCTGATTAGTCCATACCTCTACCAGAAACTAGTAATGGAGAAGTGCCCTTTATGATTGGCTTTCTCCAGGTCATGTGTCCATCCATCCCTATTGAGACAAATGATATAGTAAATTCACCAAGATAGAAAGGTTTGGTGGTGATATTATCAGAAGAAGCAGGAGAAAAAAAATAATGTCCAAGTATACCAGCATGCTTAAGTATTATTAATAATAAAACTGAATGTGTCTAGTTTGCCTAGGAGCAACATAGACCCTTATCATCTCTCATCAAGGCAACTAGAATCAACCTTAAAATCAATATCCAACTACTTCAATCTAACCTTCATTCTGTTTCATGTTATACCGAATGTCAAAAATATTTAATGACTTTTTGTTTCCTAGGGATAAAAGCTCAAATTATTAATCAATAAATTCATGATTCTTAATAACATGGACTCCATCCTTTCCAATTTTGTCTCCTTCCAGTATTCTTACCTCTTTTTTTTTTTTTTTGAAAGATCATTTATGTCACATTGAAACCTCCATCTTTATCTGTCCTCCGCTTTTGTACCCCATCTCATTCTGAGTATAGCTGTGAAAAGTGAAAGTGAAGTCGCTCAGCCATGTCTGACTCTTTGTGACCCTATGGACTGTAGCCTACCAGGTTCCTCCATCCATGGGATTTTCCAGGCAAGAATACTCGAGTCCGTTGTCAGTTCCTTCTCCAGGAGATCTTCCAACCCAGGGATCGAAGCCGGGTCTCCCGCATCGTAGCCAAGACACTTTACTGTCTGAGCCACCAGGGGAGTCTAGCTGGACAAGGCATAATTTATGTTCACTTTTTTGAATGTTTGAGTTTTTTGTGAAGCTGCTAAATTTTTCCTTCATTCTAACTGAAGTCAACTACATATAATCTTATACACTGATTTGATTATTCTTTTCCTTCAGTTTAAACTTTTTCCCAGAGGCAACTAACTAATCTAAAATTCCTTAAAGGGAGGAATAGTGAATAAACAGAATTTATTCTCCTGATCCAAGAGTGTAACTTCCATTGACATAGATTGCCTGGTTACTCAAGGTACAGCTTGCCTCACTTTGGCACACATTAGTTCTCATCGTTTCTTCATGGGCCATAGCTAATTCACACTGATGCTTCTCAGTTGCTTCAGTCATGTCCGACTCTTTGCGACCCTGTGAACTGTAGCCCATCAGGCTTCTCTGTCCATGGGATTCTCCATACAAGAATGCCAGAGTTGGTTGCCATGCCCTCCTCCAAGGGATCTTCCTGACTTAGGTATCAAACTTGCATCTCCTGCATTGGCAGACAGGGTTTTTTTTACCACTAACACTACCTGGTCAGACCATGGTTAATTGATTCGTAAAGCTCACTAGTCAGTGAGAGTTTGTGGTAATGACAGCTAACATTTAATGAGGGTTTACCATGTGCTGGTACTGCTACAGGTGTTTTATGTTTATTAACTAATTTTATCAAAATAACTCCATGAGATAATTGCTGTTATGATCATCACTTAACATATAAGAAAACTAAGGCAAACAGAGTTTAAATATCTTGCCCTGTGTCATCCCACTAGTTAATGGCCGAGTCAAGTTTGAAATTCAGGCAGCCTTGATCCAGATCCTATGCACAAGTCTACTGTCATGCTGCCTCCTGCCCACATCCTTTACAATATGGTACAAAAATTCTTTAAAGTACAATTAAAATTTTGTTATCCTTTCCTCAGTGATGCCCCATGTTTAGAATTTTGTAAAAAGATGTACATAGAGCTGTTGAAATAATTTATGGATACTCTGAACTCCTTGGAATATATGGCTGAAAAAGAGGACTTTCTTGCTATCAATTATGTTATATGGCAGACTACTTTTAATTCAGTCCTATTTTTGTATATTTAGGTTTCTGAGCAAAAAGTTGATCTTTCTAACTTCATCTTGTTTTATTATTGAAACCTTGAATCTTAAACAAGTGATAAACAGTTCAGTTAGACTCTGCATTATTTAGTAAATTTATTACCTTATTTTTCACCATGTATTTCTTGAGGGGTTTATTTCTTTCCCTTTGACCTCTTAGGCCTACTCTTCAGAAAGCAGCCAGAGTAATTATTTTAGGAGTTAAGGCAGATCAGGGCACTCTGCTGCCCAGAGCCTTCTAGCACTTAGCATCCCAAGAAGAATAAAATCTCAAAAGTTTTGCATGACCTAATTGCTCCCATGTAATCTGGGCCCTGAGTACTCCCGGGCCTCATCTCTCACAACTTTCTCCCTCATTCATACCACTGCACTACCAGCTACACAGGTCTCCTGGCTTTTTTTCATATGTTAAGAGGCTTTCCCTCTCCCCATCCCTCCAACTCCCTCTCATTTCTTCTTCCTGAAATAGGTTTCATATAGTCACATGTCCTTCTTCCTAAATACACTCAATCTCTACTTAAAAAAATCACATCACTGACAATCCCCATAAAGGAATAATCCCTATCATGTCATTTTTATTTTTCTTCATAGTGTTTACCACTCTCTAACAACTTGTTATGTATATGTGGTCTTTTTTGTGTGTGTGCTTTTTTTTTTAAGAAAAATGTAAATTCTATGTGGCAAGAACTTTGTTATATTCATTGGTGTGTCCTCAGTGCCAAGAAGAGTTCAGTTCCTGTCACACAGTTTGTTGTTGTTCAGTCACGCAGTCGTGTCTGACTCTGCAACCCAATGGACTACAGCATAGCAGGCTGCCCTGTCCTTCACCATCTCCTAGACTTGCTCAGACTCGTCCATTGAGTCAGTGATGCCATCCAACCATCTCATCCTCTGTTGTCCCCTCTTCCTCCTGCCTTCAGTCTTTCCCAGAATTAGGGTCTTTTCTAATGAGTCAGCGCTTTGCATCAGATGGCCAAAGTATTGGAGTTTCAGCTTCAACATCAGTCCTTCCAATGAATATTCAGGGTTGATTTCCTTTAGGATTGACTGATTTGATCTGCTTGCAGTCTAAGGGACTCTCAAGAGTCTTCTCCAACATCACAATTCAAAAGCATCAATTCTTTGGTGCTCAGCCTTCTTTATGGTCCAATTCTCACATCCATACTTGACTACTACAAAAATCAGCTTTGACTATACGGACATTTGTTGGCAAAGTAATGTCTATGCATTTTAATATGCTGTCTAAGTTTGTCATAGCTTTTCTTCCAAGGAGCAAGCATCTTTTAATTTCATGGCTGCAGTCACCATCTGCAGTGATTTTGGAGCCCCCCCCCCCCAAATTAAGTCTGTCTGTTTCTATTGTTTTCCTATCTGTTTGCCATTAAGTGATGGGGCCGTATGCCATGATCTTTGTTTTTTTGAATGTTGAGCTTTAAGGCAGCTTTTCCACGCTCTTCTTTCACTTTCATCAAGAGGCTGTTTAATTCCTCTTAATTTTCTGCCATAACAGTGGTGTCATCTTCTTATCTGAGATTATTGATATTCCTCCCAGCAATCTTGATTCCAGTTTGTCCTTCATCCAGCGTGGCATGTCACACAGTTAGTTCTCAGTAAGTCTTATTGTAATGAAAGAATGAGCAGACTATTATTTCCAGTTCTTTGGGGAATACTTAGTATATTTGATTTTGCATATTTATTTTCTGTCCTTTGCCTTCATCAGTGTTTCCCTTTCCACTAGAATGTCCTAGTCCTTTCCAACACTGGAAAGGTTTTTGGGGTTTTTTTTTTGTTGTTGTTGTTTTTTTACCAAACTCCGAGTCATTTTTAAATTTGTCTCCAACTTAAGCTTTTTTATGTACGTGCAGGAGACCCCAGTTTGATTCCTGGGTCAGGAAGATCCACTGGAGAAGAGATAGGCTACTCACTCTGGTATTCTTGGGCTTCCCTTGTTGCTCAGCTGGTTAAAAATCTACCTGCAGTGTGGGAGACCTGGGTTCGATCCCCAGGTTGGGAAGATCCCCTGGAGGAAGGCATGGCAACCTGCTCCAATATTCTTGCCTGGAAAATCCCCATGGACAGAGGAGCCTGATGGGCTAGGTGGAGCTGATGGGAAGACCCCCTGGAGAAGGGAAAAGCTACCCACTACAGTATTCTGGCCTGGAAAATTCCATGGATTGTATAGTCCATGGGGTTACAAAGAGTCAGACACAACTGAGCAAGTTTCACTTCTTCCAACTCTACTGTTATATAATTTATTTACACCATTGTATCAGTTTAATGTGCACAGTAAAAAGGAATTGATTGACATGCATCATGAAATGATTATCACAATAAATTTAGTGAACATCCACCATCTCTTATAAATAGAATTAAAGAAATAGAAAAAAGTGTTTTTCCTTGTGATGAGGACTCTTAGGATTAACTCTCTTAACTTTTATGTGTAATATACACAGTAGTATTAATTTTATCATGTTGCACATTAAAACTGAGTGACTGGATTATGCTTTCCTAGGATGAAGCATCTGCAAAAAATCTCAACTTTTCCTAGAACTCGTATTTCTCTACTTGTAGGATGTTTTGCTACCTTATAAACACCTATTGATTCACTAAATCAATATTTGTCAATTATAATGTCTAAGCACTAAAGAAATATTGTTGAGTATGAACAAATACTATATGTTCTCCTTGAGGTAGTAGAGGAAATAGTAATTGTTTTCTTGTTTTCCTTATATTCTTGAGGTCGAGAACCATGTATTCTTCTTGCTCCTATAACATATATTTTTAGAAGACATCTCCTAAACATAAGAGGTTAGATTTAAACCAAAACTGAACAACATGTGTTACTGGCCATTTTGATTAGATCTCACTCTTGAATATCTCTCTAATGTTTTTTATAGAACTTAGATTTGAAAGACTCTAGGGAAGGTCAGGCAGAAAAAACCAGGATAGCATTGGCCAACAAGCGTCCAAGGCAGCATATAATCAGAAGTCACAGCTGAAAGGTGTTTTCTATGTACTGGGATCATAAAGTTATGAGTTATGGGGATAAGCTGAAGTCATATACCCAGTAGAATTCAACCCTTCAGGAACTAGACATTGTTAATTAAGATAGCTACCCTATTTGGTAAATATGTAGGTAGACCACATGTCCTGAATTGCCTAAGACAAGCCCTGCATTCACTCTTTTTCTTGGCACTCTGATTTCTCCCCCAAATTCCCATTTTATTTGATAAACAATACAGTCATCTGGGGCTTCCCTGGTAGTTCAGATGGTAAAGAATATGCCTGCAATGCAGGAGACCTGGATTTGATCCCTGGGAGGGAAGATTCCCCTGGAGAAAGGAATGGCTACCCATTCTAGTATTCTTGCACAGAGAATGCCATGGACAGAGGAGCTCGGCAGGCTACAAACCATGGGGTCCAAAAAAGAAAAAAAATCAGACATTACTGAGTGACTGGGGCTTCTGCGGTGGCTCAGTCGGTAAAGAATCTGCCTGCAATGAGGGAGATCTGGGTTTGATCCCTGGGTTGGGAAGATCCCCTGGAGAAGAGAACAGCTACCCACTCCAGTATTCTGGCCTGGAGAATTCCATGGGTAAAGGAGCTTGGCAGGCTACAGCCCATGGGACTGCAGAGAGTTGACATGACTGAGTGGCTGTCACTTCACTCAACTGAGTGACTGAACACACACACACATGGCCATCTTATGGTGGGGGACATTTAGAACTGAAGAAATTACTTGATTATCTGTATCACCTAAGTCATTAAGCACAGAATCTGAAATTGAACCAAATGTACTGAAACTTTATTGTTTCCCTAATTTTTTCATATTATTGATAGATTTGAGTACACAGACTAACATAGCAAAAGAGTACATGAACTGATGTTTAGGACCCAAAAATTCAAGTAATGATGGTGCATAGAACTCAAATAATAAACAGTCTAAAATGAGAGTATACAGTTCAAATTAGGGAGACCTAAAAAAAAGAGATTTAAGGTTAAAAACAGACAAAAAAACATCATGATGGGATTTGTAAAAACTGGCTATTTCTTTGTCCTATTGAAATACTCAGAGTGGTTTGAGTAATAATGGTCTAGAGGGGTCTGTTCTAGTTATAGAAAATTTATCACTTGCCAAGTGTGCATCTCTACCAAGGGCAAGGTATAATTTTCTGAGTTTGGACAGTTTCATTCAAGGGGTTGGCTTTTGAGGAAACTTCATATTTTAAAACTCAGGTTCTTATCATGCGACCAGGTAGTGGTCATATGTGGAAAAAATCAGGGAGAAAAACTAAAAGCTATTTATACTTGACAAGATTGTTATATGTCTGGCTAATTGCTCTCAGTTCATATTTTGGGCTATTGGTGTGACTTTGCTGTGCTACTGATCTATGTCCTTATGGATGTTTTTCTTTGACAGCTGTCTTCCCTAACATAAAGTAACTACTTCTTTCATGTTTGTTTTGTTATTCCGTAAATTCTCTGCAATGTTTCAAGGATTCATTTGATATAAAATTTGTCTTTCATTCACAAGAACATATATACCTATTGTGTCTATTACAAAAGTGTCTGTATCTGTAAAGACATATGACATTAATTAGCAAGGTTGTTGAAATAAATTGGAACTCCTTCAGAATGGGTGATATAAAAGATAAGGCAGTAGATCCATGGCATCCATTTTAGATACTCTTCTTCTAAGAAATTCAATATATGAGCAGTCATATGGTCTTTGGAACTGACTTAATTCTCAGAATTTATTTTAGAAATATTCTTGGAGAAACTTTCTTAATATTTTCTATACCACGGCATCTTTTACAGTATATCTGAGTTCCATTTTCTACCTGAAAAAATTTTCAGTTATAAAACTTTTATTTTTTTGTTCTTAATATTTTGGCCTCTCATGATTGATTTTAGTGGGTTGTTTGATTTCATCTTGCATTTTCTTAGCTTTAACAGGAAGGGACCTTTATAGAGAAGGAAGAATCATCAGATTGAGAGAATATTGGGTAATTAATTAAAATTCAAGACAATTCACACTTGCATTAGCATCTATATCTGTGCATTATATCAATGCGCATGTAGCTAATCTCTTGTAATTGTTCAAAAAGCCAGTAAAGTAAATATAATTCTAAATATTTGCAATATAAAATGATCTCATTTACAAAGATGAAGGATTTCATTTGGTTGATGAAAATGTTCCTGCTACTGATGATAATGGAAGATTGTTTTAATCACATAAGGCCATTGACAAATGAGAATCTGTAACATGTAAATCAATTAAACATAATAACATAAACAAGTATATTGACACATTTAGGTTTGAGATGCTTAAAGAGAGTGATTTGAAGAAGAAAGTAGTAAATGAATCTCTGATTAAGTGAATGATACCTTTTAATAATGTTTATAGAGATTGATCATTTGAAGTAGAATGCTAAAATGCCAAACATATGTGAAGTTATCATCTGCAGTGATTTTGGAGTCCAAGAAAATAAAATGTATCACTTATTCCCCTTCTTTTCACCATAATGTGATGGGATCGGATGCCATGATGAGTGTTGAATTTTAAGCCAGCTTTTTTACTCCCCTCTTTCACCCTCATCAAGAGGCTCTAGTTCCTTTTCACTTTCTGCCATTAGAGTGGAAACATCTGCATATCTGAGGTTGTCGATATTTCTCACGGCAAACTTGAATCCAGCTTGTGAATCATCCAGACCAGTATTTTGCATGATGTATGCTGCATGTGAGTTAAACTATATCTAGGTTTCCTTTAGTTTTAATGCTGATAAAATTATCTGGTCTATCGTAACCACTGGTGGTAGAAGGCATTGTAAACTGTGATTTAGTCTATAGTAAATAAACATTGAATCAAATTTTAATTTCTTTTACCTCAGTTCATAAATATTTATTTTTATTATCTTGGAGTATTTACTAAAAACTAAATATCCTCTAAGAAAACTTTTTATTCATTATGTTTCCCAGAGAAATGCACAAGTTCAGAAACAGCTTTCAAAATTTCAGTTTACTCCACTATTTCAAAAAGAATTCTGTGAAGAATGACACCTATCCCTTTAGAAATCTAAAATAAATAATTTTGTGTAATTAACAAATTGTTTTCTTAAAGCTTAGTAAAAGAGCAACTGCTAAACAATTTTAATTACTTATGTTTAATTTACAACCAATTTATGCAAATGTTGCTTGTAATTAGAAATATATAAGTATGTACTTTAAATGCAAACATGAAGGTTGAGCTAAATTCTTTTGGGGCTGGTATTAATTCTCAGATACAATTATATACCTTTTTCTTCTCTAGTGTTTCAAAGGATGAAATTAATTTCTAATATTGCAAGAGGTCTTTACACACTCATGTTATTTCCAGGAAGTAACTTAAGCAAAGATAATCAGACTCCTTCTATTTCAAAAGAGATTTGTTCAGCCTTTGCCTCTCTAACAGTGATCATATGACTATATTTCTTTGTATTTTCAGCATTATGTGGAGGAGATGTTAGAGGGCCTAGTGGAACAATCTTATCACCTGGTTACCCAGAATTTTATCCAAATTCTCTGAATTGTACATGGACCGTTGATGTAACCCATGGAAAAGGTAATTTGTCTCATGCAATGATAATGGGCTATCTTCTGAATTTACATTGCATATATTTTTATTTCATTGTCCTTTACAGTGTCATTTTGCATGAGCAAAAACAGATCAGTACTAAAATATGCTAATACAAAATTCAGTTTGAATAACTTTAGCAGAGGATTGTATTTACTTTTCTGTACTATTATAACATGCTCATATGATTTTTTTCAGAATGGTAGTATATTTATTTATATATAATAAACTAATGTAATTTGAAATTTTCATATCAATAAAATCTCAAACAGATGTCTTTTGTCTCTGGCATGGTGTTAAGAAGTTGACTTCAAAAATTCAAAGGGAAATAGATACTCTGAAGTACTACACTGATTGTAAAGTAAACAGTACATGTTTATATACATTTGTTACAAAATGGTTATGATTATTTATTATAGCCATATACCATATATAAATTTATAACTGTCCTAGAAATATTTGTCTCAAATTTTCTGTCAGAACTGCAGTTGGTTTTCACACAGTTGAGTGAAAGTATGAAACTGCACTGTGCTTATAGTAGAGCTTAATAAATGTCCTTTGAACAAATAAATAAAAGTCCTTGTAGTACTAAATATGATATATTCATGCAATACAACCAAAATATTCAATGCATATTAGCAATATAAGTGGTTTAAGGTAATAGCTTGACAGTGGGAAAATGGGCATTCTAAATATCAAAACAAAAATGGATGAAAATTATTTACCTGAAAATATCTAAATGCTAATATTTTAGAAAAGAATTTATTCATGTTAAAAACTGCTTTGGGGAAGTATTATTCTTATTGGTTTTTACTATTACATTGTACATGGGCTTCCTGGTAGCTCAGCTGGTAAAGAATCCACCTGCAATTCATGAGACTCCAGTTTGATTCAGAGGAGGGATAGGCTACCCAGTATTCTTGGGTTCCCCTGGTGGCTCAGTCAGTAAAGATCTGCCTGCAATGAGGGACACTTAGGTTCGATCCCTGGGTTCAGAAGACCCCCTGGAGGAGGGCATGGCAACCACTCCAGTATTCTTGCCTGGAGAATCCTCATGGACAGAAGAGCCTGGCAGGCTACGTTCCATGGAGTCGCAAAGAGTCGGACATGACTGAGCAACAGCACACACTTCACATTGTACTTATGAGCTTTACTATCAAAGGTCTAAAAATGAAAAACCCAAATCCTAGCCATGAGAAGGTGATGTTGTTACAGTTTTAAAAATTAAAGCTTTATTTGAAACATTTGAATCCATTGTGGTTTTTACACAATGTGTTATTTTATTTTGTTTTTTAATTTTATTAGAATATAGTTGGTTTACAATGGTGTGTTAGTTTTTGCTGTACAATGAAGTGAACTGGTTATACATATACATGTATCCTACATGTAAGTCCCTTTTTTAGATTTTCTTCTCGTTTGGTTCACCACAGACCCTTGAGTTGAGTTCCATGTGCTAAACAGCAGGTTCTCATTAGTTATCTGTTTTATACATAGTGGTATATGTATGTCAATCCCATCTCCCAATTTGTCCCACTCCTCCTCCCACCGCCATCGGTAACCATGTCTGTTGTCTACATTTGCGACTCTATTTCCACTTTGCCAATAAATGCATCTGTACCACTTTTCTAGATTCCACATATAAGAGATATACAATATTTGTTGTTTTTCTTACTTCACTCTATATGACAATGCACAATGTTTTTTACACTTCTGTTCAACTATGTGAGATATACCTGCAGTTCTGATAGAATATTTGAGATACAGATGGTTAGGCTTTATAGAAATTATACATCCTTTCATTGATGATGAGGGTAATATAAGGATGGTTCTTTAAATGAAAATTAAATATTATTGAGAAAAAAATGCTGTTAAAATGAGTATTCTCATATTTACTGCAGGAATGAAGTGGAAGTCTTCATAAACTGTCATTTTTGTTGTTCTCCATAATAGAAGACAATTTTTTGGAAGTTAACCAAAGCATCCTATTATCCCACTGTGTAGCAGATTAATGGAGTTTAAAATAAACTTCCTTGTATTATACAAGAAAATGGAGGGCTACATACTGCTTGCTATGTAAATAGAGGTTTAATTAACACTTAAGGTTTTGCACCTTCAGACCTTGCAAGTGTTAATTAAATCTGTATTTACATGGCATGAAATGCAGATTATGTGCTTTTCTTATAAGAGTCAACAAAATTTGTTCGAAGTACGACTATTCCAAAGTGTAGTCAAAGATTTGTGAAGAATAATCTCTTAAAGTTGGGAGAAATTATCAAGATAATATAGTTAAACTTCTCACCCAGCCTGTATACACACACATAGATACAGAAATGCACATCAATATTGCACCCTCAAGGTCAAAATTAGTCGTAACTATAACTATAACCTAGGTATTAATAATATTTTGACTTCAAGCCCAAGTTTTTCATATATTTACATGACAAAAATTACCTTAATAGGACTTTTTGAATTAGCACTTTTATGGGACAGTACTATGATGATGTAACCACTTACTTTTTCTCTCTATTCTTCACACCCACTGCCCTATTAAGATTGTATGTCTTTGCCTGTCCACTTCTACTTCCTGAAATGTCCATCCAAGGGTTGCTCTTCCACAAAGAGCTGTTCACTTTTGAAGGTCATTGCCTTCAGGAGCATCTGCCATTCCCTCTGACAACCTGCCTCTTAAAGTTTATGCTCCGATATTGACTCACATTAATTACTTTCATAGCACTTAGCAAAATCTTTGAAACTTTAGTTTATGTGTCTTTTTCCCTTAGATAGACTATTAGTTATTTACAGTATTCTCATTTTTTATATTCTATAATGCCTATAATATAGTAGGTTCTTGGTATCATTTTATTATTTAGATTAATTGCCTTTTATTAGAAGGTCCTATGTAGTTTTCCTGTAGTGAACACAGATTTTATTGCTTAAAACATAATCTGATAAACAGAGGCTTCATTTTTTAAAGTAGTTGACTAGGGCAGAATGACATGAAAACAATTGACTTTCAGGTTGAAGGATTAAACAATAAATGATAACTAAGAGTTGCTAAGCACTTCCTCTGTGAAAGCACTGTGCCAAGTGATCCCCTATATTGTCTCATTTAAACTTTCAGACAACTCTATTAGAATCCATTTTCTCAGATGGAGAAAGTGCATCTCAGAAAAGGCTATGCATGTAATACTTGACAATGGGCTTATTAGCACCACTACCTAACAGAATATTAAATTTCCCCATGTATTAATTTCAGTACATATCAGAACAAGCACATTTTTCTAAGAAAAACATGCAACCTGATAGACTGTTTTTTTTTTTTTTTTTCTGATTTGTTCATTTGCTCTTCTGACTGTTTTTCTTATTTTTAGTGTCTGACCAAAATCTAATTCACTTTATCTTAACTTCCACTCATGTTAATTTGTAAATTTAAATATCAGTAAATCTAGATGGCAGAGTATCTTCTCTTTGCTGTCTTTCTCATTTACATCTGTCTAGTGTCAAATGCCACATTTCTATTGAAGAATTTTTGAGACACTGACTTTTTTTTTTCCATTTATTTTTATTAGTTGGAGGCTAATTACTTTACATCATTGCAGTGGTTTTTGTCATACATTGAAATGAATTAGCCATGG